TTTTGCAAGTTCATAATAATAATAAAGTTTCCACATTAATACTCTTTAGCCTTAGGATGTATGCTTTTCTGTACAGCCTTGATCTCAGTTGGAAGCTACAAGTCAGGCAGTGCATTCCCACCCTAGGCTTCCCCCTCCCACCTTCTCTATTTAATACCATTTCATAATCCATTTTTCAAGCAATGTTTACAAAGTTCAAAATATCACACATACCCCAACAGAAAGGATGATGGGTCCCTTGATTAGCCACCAGTAAGGAGAGCCCTGGTTAATATCCCAGCATCTAAACAAATAGCGCTACAATTAACATGCATAGATAGACATGGTCAGAGAAATACTGTTATATCAAGAAATTACACTGGATAGTCAGCAGGGGTGTGCAAAACAGGCCCTATTCAATTTGGATTTGAATTCTGCCCAAATCAGGGACAGTGATTTGATTCGTTGATTTGGATCACTGTCCCCGATTTGATTCAGCCAAATCCGAATTTGACAATTTGATGCTGATTCAGAGAATCACTGATTCAGCCATAGACACAGCTTGAAATGTTTTTTCTACATACCTTGAGGTACCAGGCGCGGCTTGTGAACACTGCAATGGTGGGGTGGATCAGGAGCATGGGGACCCCCCCGCATGCTTGGCGGCAAACCCAGAAATGGACCAGATGTACTTCTGGTCCACTTCTGAGTCTGCTGCTGAGCGTGCTGGGGATCCCCCCCTGAGCTCTTGTGGGATGCTCTACCTGCCCCAGCATCATAGCACTCACAAGCTGCCTGCTACCTCTAAAGCTATGTAGAAAAAGCATTTAAAGCTGTGCCTATGTCCAAATTGCCAAATGTTTCCAAATCTCTCCGATTTGATTTGGAGAGATTAAAGAGTCCTCTGATTCGATTCAGATTCAGAGATTTGGCCACCGAATCAGACCAAATTTCCACCTAATCGAATCGGGGAGTGAAGCTTCACACAGCCTGAATGGTCAGTAGATACCTACATGATAGTGACATTTTGAGAGGCAGTATTACTATCCAAATCTCTGCAACCATGGTTTGTAATGTACTGTTGCCATGGATATTCTCTGATCCCAGGGCTCCATTAATATTTTCTGGTCCTTATGAAAACAGTAGAATTTCCACTGGCCCTAAAACACTAAATGATAGCTCAAAGTCATCTATTGCTCCATAGGTCGAACAGATGCAAGCTGCAAGCCAGATCTAAAGCATCATTGTTCTTTGAAGATGAGGCATTTTCTACACATAAAGTGGAAACTTCATTCAACCTCTTTAGGTTTCTGATCTCAGAAACTATTCTTGCCTGCCTATAAAGTTATCATTGTCTCATGAGAACACCTTGATTGCCCTGCAGCATGAGAAATACTTCAACTTGCTTAAAAACTATCGCTTCCCTAACTTAATTAACTCCCATTACAAGCACGTGTTTTCAGGTAGTTCTAATTTTTCTTAAAACCTTCCCTTTAGCCTGAAACATTTTGTTCTCAGGTCAAGATGTGAATTTGTTTGGATTTTTGTTTCAAGGTATCCCTTTATTCTTTTTCCAAAGGGAAATAAAAATGCAGAGTGAAATTTTGTTTCTACTGAAGACAATGGCGAAACTTCATTGACTTCAGCAGAACATGGATTTTATTAGTATTTTCTGTTTTTCATTTGGATAATAATTGCATAGAAAGATGATCAAGAGCAAGTGCAGGATGGATGTGAAGGTTTAATGCACTAACTTAACTTTCCTAGGACCCCAGTAACTCACGAAGGGCCATAGTACGGGATCAAGACTTCTCATAGTATTGAAACGGGAACACGCTATGGGATCTGGTATAAAACTGCTACTTACGCTGTGTCTTCAAAATAAAACTTGGTTAATATCCACACAAGGGTGAAAAATGTTGGGAAACCTGTAAAACAATTCAACAAGGGTTATGGGTTTTTTCCGATGTCGTTAATTATCCCCCATTAAATTTCCACCCTGTCCGCAGCAGCCCTAACATGAGATTACAGGGCACCCACAGGAACAGCATTTACATATGCAACAGGAACAGCATTTACACTTAATAAAGGCTTCTGTGAGGAACATAAATGTAAAGAGGAAGTCTCTCCACACACTATAAAATAAAGTAGTTACAAGCAACCTATGTTCAGCATTTTGAGGCTGTAAGGGCGTCTATAAGTACATTTGCACTTAGTGTCAAACATCAGTATAGACCTGCTTTTGCAGTGTTTTATTCATATGAAAACCACTTTTTCATGTGAATAGTCTCAGCTTCCGGTCCCTCAGCTCAGGCTGCAGATTCAAGCATTAGCTTTATACTTTTAGCATGGCAGAGAGCTGAGGGGAGAATTTATCTAACAATAGTACTAGTCAACAATACTTTTAAACTTCAACTTGATAAAATAAAGGCCAAGTCCTGTGCAGCCAGGAGGGAGTAAGTCCTGGGGTAGGAGGGAGTATACTTCTGTGCCCTAGTAAGGAGGGCATTGTTGGAAGATATGCATTTTGGCCTTCTGCCTCTCCTCCAGCTCTGCCCTCATTGCATTTTAGCCAACAACCATGCAATGCCAAAGGCGGAGTTGAGTGCTTGCCCAGGAAGCAGGCAGCCTGGATTCCAGGTCCCACGGCTCCTTTCCAACGGGGGGCACTCGGCAGTCAAGAATGCAGGGATCTCGAAGAAAGAGGGACAATAAGCAGGAGGGGGCATGCCACCAAAGTCAAGTGCTCCGGGCACTACCCTGAGAAGCAGGAGACCTGGGTTCCAACCTTTGACTCCACTCCTAGACTCTTCGTACATTTTACAAGAAACAGATGCAAACAACCTGGAAATAACCAGAACCCAGGTTTTCCTCCTTCTAGGTGAGTACCCTCTCTGCTGGTCTACAGAGTCAGGTTCACTTGGCCTGCTTTCCTTTTGGTTATGGGGTTCTTTCCACCCAACTTGAACATGAGGAAGTGGAAGATGTTCTCAGCCTGAACTAGACTGTAGTCCGGTTGGTAAGGCTTGGGAAGCAGGAAATATGATTTTGATTCCTCCCCTGTGCGGTTGTTCCTAGAATCCTCTTCTGACTTTTTACAATATACAGGCAGTTACTTTGCAGTCAGTTTATGTGGATGCCTACACCGATAATCTTTCTACTGACATCAGAAGGAGAGGGATCAAGTCCTGGAAGGTATTATATTCTTGACCAGTCCCACCCCTGCCCTTACGTACCCCAGCCAAACAGAACAAGCCACCAAAAGTATCTTCTTCCATGAGGGAGGGACGAGAGCAGCAGACTGTTCAAATAAAGGGCTTCTACCAGCAGCCACATGAAATTGGTCATCATAAAATAGTGGCAGAAAACAACTGAGATCTTGCATTCGGTCTAGGGAACAGGAAAGGCAAAAATTCAGCACAACACATGCAAATATTTGAGTTGACCTTTCAGACACGATGAGCGTCCATAATTCCAGTTACCATTATAGGGCATTTTGGGTGCCCCACACCTCTAATTATGGGTGTGAAAAACAACACAGCCCAACTTTGATACCAATGTAGATGACACCATTAAATGGAATTTCTTTTGCTTTGGGTTTTTGTTTTGTTTTGGGTTTTTTTCCCTTTTGGGAAAGAATTTCAAACCTCCTAGCAGCTTCAGATTACCACCCCTGCCATTTTCAGACCACTTCAATATAGACCTGCGTTTGCAGTCTAATATTCGTATGAAAACCACTTATTCATGTGAATAGTCTCAACTGCAAGGTCCTCAGATCAAGCTGCAGCTTCAAGCATTAGTGTGACTTTTAACATGGCAGAGAGCTGACGGGAGAATTTAGCTAACAATAGTAATAGTCAACAATATTTTTAAACTTAGCTTGATGAACTAAAGCCAAGCCCTGTGCAGTGAGGAGGGAGAGACTCCTGGGGTAAGAGGAGAGCAAATAAGAGGGAGTATACTTCTGTCCCCAGTAAGGAGGGAATTGTTTTGGGAGGGTGGAAGACCTACATTTTGGCCTTCTGCCTCTCCCTCAGCTCTTCCTTCACTGCGTTTTTATCCAACAACCATGCAGTGCCAAAGTAGGGTTGAGTGCTTGCCCAGGAAACAGGCAGCCTGGATTTCATAAAGAAGCAACTTGCATTAAAACAGAGCTGACAACTATCATTCCTAAGGTCTTGCTATGGCTCTGGAGGATGATTAGTTATAGCCTCTCAGACCTGCACTGCACAGGGAGCACACCTGTAAATAGCTGTCTGGTCACTGAGGCTAGGTAGTCCAAGGTGGCCAGTTGCATCACTCGTTTGTGTGCCCATGGCAGTATAAATTGGGCTAGAGGTTCTTCTTCTCCCAGCTCTCCGTTGGCCAACGCTCAAAGGGAAGCCAAAGGAAATGGTACAAAAATATGCTCAAGGTCACCCTTAAGCATGGAGGCAAGCTGCTGACCCTTCGGCATGGCACCACCTGGTCCTCCAAGGCCCAACGACTCGATACCAGGGCTGAACAGCAGTGGCAAAGAAAGGAGGAGACCAACCCAGAGATGCGAATCCCACTCCCCCATACAACAACATGTCTCCATTGCCAAAGAACGTGTGTATCCAGAATCTGCTCCTCAGTCACCTGAGGACCCATCAAGCCTGACGGATGTCATCCTCAACTTTGAAGGACCGCCGCCGAAATTGGGCTAGCATATAATGTACATCAACGGGCCATTTGTTTCAGGCAGACCTTTGACGTTTTGCTCTTTGAAGATATAAAAGAAAGCACAAGCCACTGGAAGAGATAAAGCAATATATTATGCATACACCAAAGTGATCTTTTCAAATGCTTACTGTAGAGAAACTGCAATGATCAATGTCTTCCTTCTGGAAGAGGACGGCATCCTTAATGAATATGGCAATAGCTTTCAAGATGAAGGTGAGAAAGAGCTGGATGTGGATATAATTCCTGGGGCAGCGGAGTCTCCTGTAAGGAAAGAAGCCAGAAGACTGAAGTGAGGGGAGGTGAATAATCTCTGCCACTTGCTTGTTTCCTGAGGCTGGGATTTTCAAAAGCAGTCTGCTTTGGCCTAACTCTGCTCCTACTGAAGCAAATAGCTGACTGCTAAGGGAACTACGTTTATTTTAAGCACTCTTGAAAATGTCCCTTTTAGTTGATATCTAATATCAGTGGGCGTTAAACCCTCCCAGAACCGTATCAGACCAGTCCTTCCCTTGTATCGCAAATATGTACTTGTGCCAGTGGAAAGCCTGAATTTGCAGAAATGACCTTGACTAATATAAAACTGAAGGGGATAAAACAGCTTCCAAGATAATAAGAATGCTGCAGAGTATCTGTGACTGCCTAGGTAGCTCTCTTCTAGGTAGCAGGCAGTGGATGTATGACTTATCAGCATGGAGACAGTCAAGGAAATTAATCTGAATTAATTTTAAAGTGGATTAAAAGGTGTATTAAATGCATAGGTAGACACTGTTACTCAGAATGAATGTGGCTGTATTTGCTTTAGTTTAACGAACTATAGGAATTCATTAAGTGCCATTGAATTAAGGCCACTTTACTTCTTACTAATAATAATATACATATAGGGATGTGCTGTGATTTACAAATCACACCTTTAGTTAATTTTGGTCAACCATCTTCCATGGAAACAAAAACGTTGAGCCTGATTTTCAGAGACGTCAACCAATTTCAGTTCTACATTTTCAGCTGGAGTCAGAGATTCTCAGCAATTATGAAAATCAGGTTCTTATAAAGTCCGACCCATACCGGATCACTTGCAGGTGATCTTAAAATTCACTTATTGTGAGCAGTATTGCAGTTGAACTCAACCATTGCCAAATTAGCTGTTTCTGCTCATTTTAAAGATATCAACCTTTCTGCCCATGGCTTTTCAGTGCAGTGTGCATTTCTGTTTATTCAGTTTCTTGTATTTTTGGTGCCCTGTTAGACGCTCATCAGGTTACCTGAAGGCAATGAGAACTGTCACAGCAATGGTGAGCGAGGCGATAGATATGCTATATCCTACGGTGTAGATGATCTTTACCGTAGAAAAATAGGAGTGCTATAAAGAAGAGAATAACTGTGTTATTTGCGACTTAAGGCCAAAATAACAGTGGTAGAAGCTATGCAAAATTGAGTGGGATGCCAAAACCTTTTTTGCAGTCTCAATTCACACTCCTAGTATCCACCTTTTTGTAAGAACATAAAATCCCAAAGCAAAGCGCAGCTGGAACACTTCATCTTACTTTCACAGTCATCTCGTTCAATGCTTCACCAGTGCCAGGGCTCGAAATTAGGAAGAGCTTTCTATCTGTAGTGGTTAAGCACTAGAGAAGTCTGCTAGAGATGTGGGATATCCATCACTGGATAGTTTTAAGTGCAGGTTTGTGTGGGAAGGTTTTGACAGAGAGAATCCTCTCTTGAGCAGGAGGCTGGATTTGATGACCTCTTGAGAAACCTTCCAGCTTTGTCTGGTTAATAGCAAATCACTAAGGACGTATGTGATTTTGATGGGAAAAAAATACACTACTAGGTCTAGGAAGGCTGACTGATTCAGGAGGCTATGCAAATTTAGCAAAACTCCATTCAAGTTAAACTGGGTTTCAAACTTGCTATGGTATCTGAAACCAAGCCAGTATGCTATGGGTCTGGGATTCCTAACTACACTTCAACCTGACTCAGTTTGCCAAGATACTATACCATGGTAGACCTATAATAATCCTTTTTGTATAGGCAGACAGGGTTTTTTGGGTAGCTGTGATATCTTTTATTAGACCAGTTAATGGTTGGAAAAAATGTTCTTTGCTAGCTTGCGGACACAAACGCCCTTTTTGTGCCCAAAAGCTTGCAAAGAACAATTTTCCCAACTGTTGAGTTAGTCTAATAAAAGAGATCACATCTACCCAAAGAACTGTGTCTGCCTATGTCCTTAGACCAACACAGCTACAACCAACAATCCTTTCTGTATATGCACACGTGTATACTAAAAATATTCCTGCTTTGACAAAACATTCACCTAATCCTGGGAGAAGGTCATGGTAATCTCAGTAGAAAGCATAAAGAGATAGGACAACGAGGGAAGGATTTATCTCAAGAGGCATGAGGCTTCACTGACCACAACAGTGTTTTAGGGCGGGGGGTGGGGGGTGCTTTAACAGAGCCTAGCTCTGAGCTCAGGCCACTTCCACACTGGCCTGTGCCATTGTCACTGGAGCCAGATCCAGAGCTGGAGCTGGCTGCTGCCACTTCCCCCCTGATGGCTGGGCAGAGCTGCCCACAAGAGAAGTGCTGCAAAAGCACCCCAGTCCTGCAGACTGGATAAAATGGCTCCACAGTCCATAGGTGTCAGGGGCCCTATCAGGCAAGATTCTTTGGGTAAATGTGATCTCTTTTATTAGACCAACTAAATAGTTGGGACAAATGTTCTTTGCAAGCTTTCAGACACAAAGACCCTTCTTCAGGCATAGGGAGACTCTGCAGGTGTTATGCAGGGGCACTATCAAGCAGCCCAGCCTGGACTCATCGCCGACTTGGCCAAACCTGCCAGAGGTCCTTCCCAGAAGCCCCACCCCAGCTGATGAACCAGCCAGCCACTGTTAGGCCAGGGCCCTCCCCGACCTGCGCCCTGCCCCGCAGCCACGGGCTCCATCCCTAGCTAGGGCAGCAGGAGCAATCGGAGCAGGACGCATTGCCACCCAGGCCCGTGGTAGGACAAGCAGCCATCCATGCCCTCAGATTCACACTGGAGTTGGACCCTGGGTCACGGAGGATCCCACACAATATTGCCCCACAGCCGGGCAGCACCGGGGGCTGTGGAGCCACTGCCCACCAGGCACATGTGGCACAGTTAGGTCAGACCATCCTCGACCCAGTCCTTAGAGCAGGTTGTGAGCACGTGTTTTAGGGCATTCCAGTGGTGATCATTTGATTCACAAATCTTTCCCAGCTGCAGTTTAAATCCAGTTCTGTTTTGCAAGAGCAAGTTAATTTTTCAAAAGTCTGAGGGTGAAATCCTGGACTCGTTGAACTTGATGGCAAAACTCCTATCAACTTTATTGAACCTTGCATTTCGCTGCTAGGACTTTATCTGCAGGCACTGATGGCTGATGTCAGAGACAGGAAATTCCCTGACAGATAGATTAGTACTGGTGGCTGTCTCATATATGGTGTATATAACACAATATTTCCATCTTTCATAACATTTCCTCCCTGCCCTTCTCCGAGTTCATTTTGAATTTCACATTTTGCTCTGGGCCCTGCTCCCTATTCTGTTTTTTTCTACTGGGTTTTCTTTTTTCCTTGTGTTCCCAAGCTCAAGTTTTCCCAGGTATAATGACAGGTCTTCCTTGTTTTATGCGAGTTCTGTATGTGCAAATTCACTCTTATGCAATGATCCTCATTTGAAAATTTGAAATTGAATTTCAAGTATTTCTTTTCCAAAATTTGGCAGTGTCTGCCTTTTGGGTCCTATTTCAACTTTATTATATATACTTGCAAACACCCTGTCAGGCACTATATTTCTCCTCTTTGACACAAGACAGGATAGCAGATTAGACTTTCATGGTCTAACTCCAGTGCATCACTCCAGAAAACGTTATAATTATAGTCTTATAGTGAGAAGTGCTGAGCATGGCTGAAGCATAAGACATAATAGGCCTGACATTGCATCCACCATCACACAGGCAACACACTCCATTCAGCTAGTTATCAAGGCCCTGATAGCTCTTCTATATTGCTCCAACCAAAACTCAAATAGGGGAGTCAATAAGGAGTTGCCCTGTGCATTAACACAGCAGATCTGTTCTAGTCTCATCCCAGCCAGCTGACACCGAGTATAAATCAGATACGAACGCCATACAAAGCAATAGCCCAGTTCCCAAGCAGATAAACAAGCAGGCTGAGGAGTTTACCTAAATGAAAGATCAGGGCTACTGCCAAAGAAAACAGCAGGCTTATGCTGTGATTGTTTTTGCACTAGAAGTGCAAGGAAGCAATAAAAAGCAGGGGGGAAAGGACATTTTTTAAGCATTGCATTTTAGGGGAAGTGCTTGTTGACACAGCATGGCAAGTACTATAAATCAGCTGGCAGAAAAAAGGAAGTTGCAAGCTAAATAGCATGATAACAAACTGGGAAGAAGTAATGGGAAGAGGACCAGAAAAATCTAGGAAGCTCCTGTGCAAAACAGGTTGTTGACTAAGGGCTTGTGTAGATGAAACGGGGGCCCTAAATTGAAGCGGTGGGTTTTTAAAAACACCGCTTCAATTTAGGGCTCTTTAAACCTCCATGTCATGCACACACCCAAACTTACCTGCCTCTCCGGCGGCAGGGAGGGCAGGATGAGCTGCTGGAGGGTGGAGCGGTGCCTGGGCTGCAGGCAGGGCTGGTGCTTCCTTCCATGGCAGTGACAGCCTCCCCCAGGCAAAACCCACCTGCAGGCACCTGGATCAGGTGGTCCCGGGGGGCACCGCAGCTGAAGAGGGAGGCACCAGGCCCCTATGCAGCTCAGGTAGGCAGGCAGGCTCCATGGAAAAAAAAGATCAGGCTCGCCGCTATTCTTGGGTGGAGGCTGTCTTCCCAGGCTGCTGCCAGGCTGCCTGCATGGGCTTCCTGCAGAGCCCCTGGGCTGCACAAAGCCCGGTGCTTCACTCCACAGCTGGTAGGGCAGCAAACTAAAACTCCTGGGTGCCCCTCGTTTCGCCCACACACAGCCTAAGCTCTTTGTCACAAGTGAAATTACCTTCGCCAAATAAAAAACAATCTTGCTTTCATTCTCTCAGCTAGCACCACTGGCTGCGTACAAACTTCCCTGTGAATCTCCTTTTCACACCCCACTGGAGTCTTCTGTTTTCCAGATTTACACCAGAGTAATTAAGAAAATAATTAGGCCTAGTTACAACACAGTTTTTATACCCGCATAATATATTATTTAGGGATGGGATTATTATTTTAACAATATAGCTTTACCAGTACAATCCAAATATGGATTCGGTTATACCTATATTAAAGTGCCTAACATCAATTTAGCTTAATACCCTTCCTAGACAGGAATAGCTGCTATATGAATCAGTATAATTACTTTGATTAATTGATCCAATACTAACTTTATGTCAAAGAGTAAAACTTCCCAGCATTTACAAGGTCTAAGTGACACTGGGTGTATCTACGAGATGCTAAAAGCACAGTAGACTAATTCTACTGTGGATTAGTGCGTCACCGTAAAAGTCGTGCTAACGCCCAAATGCACAGTAGAATTAGTCTATTGTACATGAGCATCACGTAAAGCCTGTGCACCAGTGCTACTACACGGTAGTGCCGTTTATGGTACATTAAATTAGTACCTGTTATTATAGGTACTAAACTTAATGCACCATAATTGCAGAGCATTAATGTACATGTAGATATGCCCACTAACTCTGAGAATCAAGCTGAAACAATTCTGATCCAAATTACTTGGGTGTAAATCCAGAGAAACTCCATTGGATCAATACCAGTCCAAGGGACAGCCACGTGGCTGTGCACAATACACATTTTAATGTCCAAATTTCCTCTTGCTTAGATACTTTTACTGATTATTTTTGCCGTAACCAATCTATTTTCTTATAATATGCATGGCATAGGGATCCAGCCTCTTATGTTATACTGGTAGAGACTACATCACAGCTGAAATTCTCTTGAAAAGATGAATCAAAATTTGTGACAGAGGTGATAACTTTTATTAAAACAACTAGATATTTGCAACAAAAAAAAAATTCTTTATTTTTTTAAAAGAGGGGCACTTGCCATAGACCTGCTATAAGGCTACCAACAGATCAGACTGAAAATTCAGTCCCTTGTTTTACAGACATTTGGGGCCAGATTTTTAGATGGTGTCAATTAAGATCAATGGAGTCGCACACATGTACATCAGCTGTAGGTTCTGCCTCTACATTTTGTGAATACAGCTCTCTAAACTTATTAGCTGCCTTCATTATTGCTCTCTCAGGACAGTAAGTGTTATGAATCATTTTGCCAGGTAAGCAGCCATTCTTCCTCGTACCTAGTAAGTGGACGGCCACTTAAACCAAGTTTCTTCCCCAGTGAACTTCAGAAATAGAAAGGAATCCTAACAGCAACTGCACATGTCTAAACTCTGTTTGCTCAATGAACTTACTTCTTCAATGGGAATCTCATCTTCCACTGGGCAGGCAATATGGTATGAGGGAAATGGATCTGACCATCCTTTCTTCGTGCAGTTTCTTCTCACCAGGCCAGCTAAAACAGAAAAGTTCTGTATTGCTAAAGAAGCCCATGCATTCATTCCATGGACAACCAAATTCAGCAGTAGTAGGTTGCTTCCTATTAAGGAACTGTAGAATAAGAGAAGAACAATCCCTGATAGTAAAGAAGACGGGGAGGAACAATGTTCCTCTTGATAAGGAAGGCACGGTTGCAAGTCTTGGACAAGGGGAAGCTTGTGAAGTTCACTTCCGAACTTCCTGAAGTTTCCTCCATTGCCCCATTCACAAAGACTCGTTTTTGTCCTTCCAAGGTTCCCTGATCTAACCTGATGACCATGCTCTGGAAAAATTTAACTTCTCTTGTATAAGAGATGGACACTTCTTCTCTTCCCAAATCTAGAGCAGGTTTCTCTTAGACACTTTATACCCAGAATTGCTGTGCTGCGCATTTTCTATAGAAGCAATGAAGAGCTATGGAGGCAACACAGCAAAAACCCGTCTCATGTACAATTTATAATAATGTACTTGCATTGTGACAGCACGTTGGAGTCACCAACCAGGGCTTCAGTGTGCTAGATGCTGTACAAATGCAGAGCAAAAACATGGGCACTAAGATTCAGTCTAAGTAGAGTTTCTCAAACTATTCTGGCCCTGCACCAGTGAATTCAGGGTGATAAAATAAACCATATCCACCACTGTGTGTTATAAAAAGAGCAGAACTACAGAAATTAGTCACAGAAATGGCTTGTTTGGATATTAACTATTTTGTTCAACACCATATCTGTGCTTGGTGCTGTGCAGGTGAGGAAGCAACAACAGTGAAAAATAACTAGCTTTCCTATTTCAATTTTAAGGCTTTTCCGTTTCTCATAAGTTAACCCCAGAGGGAAAGACCCCCACCCCCACCCTTAATTCCCCTGAGACAGACCTCATACCATGCTAACATTTCTCTTGCTATGGGATAACTATAATCAATAGCTCCTAGTTATACTCTACCCCCGCCCCTATGCCCTTTGTCTACTCCCTCCTTGACATTGGATACAACTAGCTGGTTTATCTGGCGTAACTGTTTTGCCCGGAGAGTGATAACAGGGTTTTCAGTAGAAAGCTTTATAAGCCAGATCCAGGATAAGTATGAGGATTTTACGGGAGGAAATGAAGTTTGCAGATGAAAGGAATGCTCCTGATCCCTTGGTTATAACTAGCAGGTGTCACATACTGCGAGGAGGGCGGTAGACAGGCTTGGGGGATTTCGTTTTTTCTTTTGAAGCTGCCAAATCTCCGTCTTTCCTGGAAGATCGGTTCTCCTCACATGTTCTCAGTTATCGGGCCAAATTCATCTCCAGAATAAGCAACTGCCAGGCCACTGATTTCCACCAAGTTACATCTGCTTTCATCAGATCTGCTTCTGGCCAAATTTCATGGCAAAATTCTGCTTCCCCTCTCTGTTCTCAGTCCTAAGGAATGCCCACATCATTCATTCATGATCCTTTCATTTCATCCCATGTTAATCACAAACTAAACCTCTTAAGGCCCAGAGTTGATTCAAACAATACCCCCCGATGAACCCAAGAGGAGCTTTCCCTTTGGGCCAACCTCAAAGCCCTTTGAAACAAGTGAGACTCTTTCCATGGACTCAAGCACTTTGTCTCAGGCTCACAGCATGAAATGCTAGACCAAGCCCCAACTGTGGAGGTTACCCAGGACCCCAGACAAACTGTAAAGCACCCTGTAACAAAGGTAGACGTTCCTGGAGTAGCGCTCTCCTTATCCCCACTTCCCACATGGCTCAACCCTCGCTTTCATGAGCCTAATGGGGTCCTGTGCAAATTTAAAGCAATGAAATCAATCTGCAAGGGTCCCTCACCTGGCTTCTTCATGAAGTAAAAAAGGATGTTCGGACATGGTAAGGCAATAGTCTCTCCAGCGTCTGCATCGGGCCAGCACAACAACCGGTCCCATGTTTTCTTGCAACCTCACAGAGGAAAGAAAACACATTGCTAAACCTTCTTTGTATTTGAGTACGAAACATCTCATTGTAGCTATGACACCACCAGGGAGACTATGCTGGGGAAATGAAGGAGGAGGATTTCTACAGCAAGGCCAAGGAACTCATTGCCACAGGATGATGTGGAGGCCAATGCTACCAGGCTCTGAAAGGAATCAGACGTATTTGTGAAGGACAGGTCAAGGATGTAACCTGCTGGTGGTGACTGAGAGGGTCTGACAGGGGATGGATTACCTTGCACATGTCCTGTTAATTATAAACCAGATCCAGAATAAGTATGAGGACTTTAGGGGAGGAAATGAAGTTTGCCGATGAAAGGACTACTCTTCATCTCCAGCATTCACTAGTTACCAGTGTTGGAGCCCAGACACCGGTCTAGGTGTATCTTTGGCCATTCTCATATTTTTATATTCACATCCCATTTGAGGCACCTATCCATCTCACCAGCCCAAATTTTTGAAAGATAACTTAACTAGCTTCTTCCAGGCAATGCAGCATATATGGCGTTTTCAATGGGCTTGGAGTCAGGAGATGGGATGACATGGTTCGCTGGCACTATGTTTCAGGCACAGAGAAAAAGCCAAGTGGGGATGAAAATCAAGGAAGCAGACATAAGGTCATGGAGAAGGTGAGGGAAGAGAGAGGCAGAAAGGCTAATCAAGACACAAGGATGAATGAAGGACCATAGCATCTGAACTTGATGTCCAGGGTGATGGGAAGCAGCAAAAAGATTTGCGTTCAGTTCTAGAGCAGAAGAGAGAGGTTACACGCCTTCTTCCTCTGAACCAGCTTCATTCATTTTTCAAATCCAAGCCCGTTTCCCTTTCAAGACACCATATACTGTACCTTTAGTCCCATTTCCCAAGTCTTCAGCATCCCTGAGACACTCATTCTCGTTTTTCTTCATCTCAGTTATAAAATCGCATTCTGGATGGACATGCCCAACCACCTACAAAGGAGAAGAGTTTGTCACTTAGGTAGATGAATATCACCCTGCCTCAGGCATTATCAAGGACTGTTTTCTACGTTTCCTACCAATAGGCAGCCCCTCTCCATAGCATCGCACTTAACTGCAAATGACTACATCCTCTGGGAGTAACACAACTATGCAGATGTCCATCAGGAGCAAATCTGCAGTGGGTGTAAATTATGATCACTCCATGAACCATATAGGAGAGGCTCTGCCCCAGATAAGGTTTGGCTCAGAATACCTCTCCCATCTCTGACACAATAACATTGTAGGGATTTTTGCTGTTGGTGTTGTTCTTTGCAAGGTACTTTTTTTCTGTTCTCATCGGCATCTTCTGCCACAGACTTCAAATAGAGTAAGTGTGATGCATTCATTATGCTTTTTACCCATTTACATGACTGATGCCAAAAGTAGGATTTAATCCTCTCTGGTTCGGGAACAAAGGACTCCCATAAAAATACATTCTAATGGACAAGTCATACTCGCTGCTGTCTGGGTGATCTGGACCAGGCAAAAGAGGGACAAAAAGAAATATAATAGAGACCATCCCTACCCCACTTCTCCTGCAATCCCAGCTGCTATCGAACAGGATACTAAGCTACAACCCAAAAAAGAGTTGGAGGGTTGGATACAATCAGGGTGCAGTGGCCAAACAAGGTGTAGGCTGCTGGATCCCAACTATAGGTTGCAAGCCAGCTAATAAATATACAGTGGGGTGATATCCAGTGCTGTACATAACTCCTTTTCATGGGAGACGAACTACAAGCTCTGCTCCTCCAAACCATCTCTCTCCACACCAGCAGGACAGTTCATATACCCAACACATGGTCATCCCCACTCCACTCCCATCTGTACTGGGCAGAAATATCGCCCATCAATGCATCCTTCAAAAAAAAAAGACAAAGTGAAACACGTTGAAATCTTCCCGCTGAACAGGTGGCCAGATTATTCTATTCAGCCCCGCTGGATGCAGGAAGGATAACTATTCAGTGAAGTTTGGAAAGAGATATCTTTCTTGCAAGTCATTCAAAGGGCAAAATGTAATAATTCGAATCCACTGGTGTTCCCCATTCATATTAACATCCTCACCTCAAGCTGATCTACAGAGCATTCAAACTGATGGGGCTAGCTTACAACTCGAAGCTCTCATCTGCGCTTTAGTGAGACACTGAAAATGTTGCTGTTGATTTGGACAGAAAAAAAAAAGATTGGGCTTTATGGAAAAAGATGTATTGAACCTGGGATCCCATGCCATGCATTTCTATTCTCAGCTTTTCCTGATTTGACAGCAAGACTTGAAAAGTGGCCTTTGAAACTAGCAGTGCCTATGAATACCAGTGATATATTCCTATACTAATTTCTGTGTGCTGCGTCTTTAATTGCCCAGAGTCTTTTCTAGCTGCCTGCAGGACGACAGTAATAGGGGTCAATTCAGACTGACTGCATTTCATATTACACACTTTTAATTCCTATTGCAGACTTGGATTTATTCCTCCTTTGCCGTTCCCCTTAATCAGTAATGAATGAGATCTATACGAAAAGGTCATGTTTTATCCTGGTGTATTGAAACCATAGGAGAACATTGCTATGCTAATCAGCATGAAAACTAGCCATATCTTTCACTGAATGGATATTTTATTTTATTGAGCTGGTTTGGTGAACTGCGTCCAGAAAGATCTCAGCAGGGTGGAAATGTACCCAGTTGCCCAGTCAAAAGAATTCCTCCTGGCAAAACGACTCTCTTTTGCTTTTGCCTCTGAAGACTGCCTTTTGAGTTCAGTAAAAGTTAAAAAACAAAAACCCTGTCTGGCTCGTTCACAAACCCAGAACCCAGGGAAAATAGAGTATATTTTCTTTTTTTTTCCCTCTTTAAACCTGAAAAATTCGTGAGAACTTTGGTTCACGTGCCCATGAAATAAAAGGTCTGTGATTAAGGTTAAAGTTCACTTCTCCAGGGTGTCCTAATTTTACTGCAGTTCCTCTAACGCAGCGATGCTGAGCAGTTGCGATTCCCACCGTCTTTAAAAGCTGTAGATTTTTTATGGGCAACAGAAACCTCAGATGAAGCAAAGTGAAAAGATTCCCTGTCCCCTATTCAGTCTGTTCTGACATGGGTACACACACGTCCAGCCAGCCCGCCAGCCCTGGTGTCTACCTGCTTACCTAGTGGGCACCTCCTCTGGCCATATTTCTGAATACGAGCATCTGCTGTGCTGTGCTTTGTGGTGAACTCAGTGTAGATGTACTCGAAGCACACTAGCCAGATCTGGGCCTGTGGGGGAATTAGCTGAGCTGAGCATCTCAGTGGCTGTTTCATACCTAAGGTTATTTGGGATTTGTGCCTAAGACAGTGGTGCCCCAGGGCATGTATAGCTTTACAGATAAGATGAGAACTTTCTCTAACTATATAAGTTTGCTGGCAAAAATATAGGTGCCTGGGTACTTTCAAGGCACCTAGGAAGTTGGGTTGGGGGCGGATTGGGGGTTGCTTATTTGGACACAGGTGGCCAAATCCTGCTTATATTACATGACAGTTGCTTGAATGCTTTTTTTTTTCAATTGTTACTGCTTATCTGGTAATTAGTTACCGGAGGTTAGTCAGTCACTTGAGTCTCCATTGCTTTCCGTCACTTGCACCTAGACAAACTGTGGGCCTTAACATGCTACTATTGAGTTTCCTCAATATATATGAAGGTATATCTGCACTGCAGCCACATCTGCACCATGGCCATTACTGTGACAGCTGCTTTTCTAAACATATCCAAGCTTTAAAGCAATCGGCTGGGGGCTGCTAGCAATCTAGCCACAGAAGCATGGACTTCAGCATAGACTAAACTACCAAGCATTTACTTAGCCCCTGAACACCCCCAGCAATGCCCAAAGTAGCTCATTTCAAGCTGGTGCAGGTATACCTTACATGAGCTGCAGTCACAGTCCCAGATATACCCCGAGAAAGGTGAGGAACATCATAGGATCATAGGAAAGCAGGGCTGGAAGGGACCTCATAAAGTCACCTAGTCCAGCCTCCTGCTCAAGCCAAATCATCCAGCCAAGTGTCTGCCTACACTGCCCTTGAAAATTTCTGGGGATGGAGATCCCACACCTTCTCCAAGCAGCCTGTCCCAGTGCTTCCCACGCTCATAGTCATAAAGTTCCTCCTAATCTCCAGCCTAAATTTCCCCTGCTGCAGCTCGAGTCCATTGCTCCTAGTTCTGTCCCCTACAGCCACAGAGAAAAGCCCATCTCCACCCTCTCTGTAATCACCCTTCATGTATTTGAAAAATGTTATCAAATCCCCCTTCAATCTTTTCTTCTCCAGAGAAACAAGGGTTAGAGAAAGAAGACCATGCAAGCTGTGTAGCCAGGCAGAAAGTGATGTTTGCATTGGATAGGGCCTCACTTTTCAAGCTAACATTACAGATTCCTCGTTTTTATGCATAAGCAGCCACGCATTGAAAAGCTACCTGTTCCCTCTCTGAATTAGTCATTAGAGTTTCCCTTATCCATATCAATAGTTTGTTGTAAGCGAGTGTGATTACAGTAGATTTATGTGCTGGTGCGTTTCTCCCTCCCCTGGCCTCTCCCACACGCACAGTTAGCTGTAATGTGCAGCCAGGCTCTGGAAAAGGATTGAATGTTCTGCTTTGCTTCTCTTCCTCTGGACCAATGGACAGTTCAATGAAAAGCTAAGAAATTGTACCAACCTAGCACTGGCTTTGAAGTCAGATCTGGCCCTATCCCTATGGACACATCCTAACACTACAGTAATCCAGGCCATAATCAGCCCTCTGAACACCACTAAGCTCTGAAAGCGTTTGGACTCTGACCTGGCTTTTGAATCTTCATCCCATATCTAAGTACATCTCTGGATGTCGATCTCTCATCTCCCTCCATGATCTTGGGGTCATGGAGGGGCCCTGTAGTAAACCCCCACATAGACCATGAAGCCCTATTGAATACTTTGCGAGTGCTCACAGGGTTGTGATTACCCCTGTGATTGCCAGGAGGGCTGAAAGTTGCAGAGTCAGAACTTGGCCCTTAAGAGGTAAAGATTTCAGGCCCAGAAACTTCATCCACACATCCGCATTGGTATTCTGCAAACCGTATAGTCAAAGAATTTTGGGGCAGAGGGAGGGATAACTGTGTCACCCATCATAATCCGCCATAATCTACCACATTGGCCCAGATCCTCCAGTAGCATCAATTATCAAAGATCCATCCAATAGAGCTATAAAGATTGAAAACCAACTGATGATCTGTTCTATTGCATCTTTCAGGCACCTCTTTACACCCACTTAGGGCTGCAAATCTTGAAGTGATCCCAGAAGTCCAGGTTTTGTGGGGTGGTTCAGAGAGCATAGCATGCAATCTAGATCTGGGCCTTGTGGGCCTTGTGGTTTAAGTAAATAGCTACTCATGATGACCCAACTTTTGGAAACAATTTGAGACATTCACAGGTCTTGCTTTTCAGCAGATGCCCTATATGGCGTCTAAGGGAAAACATCAGGGCTAGGTACAGACATTCAAAAAGCTTGAGGCAGAATCAATCTAAGTTATGCAGTTTTCTGTAAGCGGCGTAGTTTAGATTAGTAGCGAACAGATGTTTGCCCTTTGGTGAGGGGGCAAATCTTAGAATGGATTGTGCCATTTTTAAATCAGTCTGTGTATGCCGAACCTCTGTTACATAGGCCAGTTTCCGATCCCTTATACCAGTAAAAGTGTCCTGTCTATACCTGGCCCAGAGGTGCAACAAACAACTTTTCTGCTCTGGGCGGAAGCACTTTCTCCATGATACTTTCACTCTGACAAGGGAGCTCTGATGGTCCTTCACTTGTATCAAATGTGACAAACCCCACCGTCAAAGAACAAAGACAGTTTTGATTCACAGAAGCTAAAAATATCCTCAAGGTGTCAGATTCCTTTCCAAGTCGAACTCTAAGAGGAAGAGAGGGAGCTATTTCTCTTTGCTACAGATCAATCTTGATCTTGATCTTTGATTTGAACCAAGACCTGCCTTGAATGGAGCACTGCTTGTACAAAGTCTGAGCAGGGAATCTCAGGATGGTGATTCCGGAAAGAACTGGGGAGGGGATGAAAGTCAATATTCTCAGTACACTGGAGGGGGGAGGTTTGAGGAGGAAAGGGCCATATTCTAATGTTGGTCACACATAGTGGTGCATCTACATGTGACATTAATGTGATGCAATAAACTCCAGAGCAGTTCATGCCAGAGTCAACCGCTCCCAGACGCAGCTTCTACACGTGCACCCAGGACAGCAGCAAGTTGAGCTGAGGCAGAGCAAGCCCCCTGCTGCCTGGATTGACCAGATGCAATTTACGCCCCGGGTCACTGTCTACACGTGCTTTTCAGTGCAGTAAAGTACTCTGCCATAAGATAGTAGTGTTCCCGACAGTACTATCCTATGGAATCGTTAATTACTTTACTGCACCCTGATACCGGTGCATGTGTAGACAGTGACGCTGTATTGCAGAGTGAATTAGACGACTCTGTAGTAAAGCACACATGTAGATGCCCCCAGGGAGTAGTATATAATTTATTCACTGGTTTCAACAGACTCAATAGGAATTATGAAGTACTCAGGCTGTGGTGGCAGCGTGGTAGCAGAGAGGTTAAGATGACTTCCTACAGCTTTAGGGTTAGGAGTGCAAGCCCTGCTCTGAACATGAGCCACAAGCTGCCCCCAGCTGTTAGTGAGTGTGTGGTCATTTACACTAGGGATTCAAAGGCAGCTGGGCATGATGTTTGCCACATGACACCTTTGGGTGTGCTGCTGACTACAGAAACTGGTATGTCTGCATCATATTTGCCCTATGGGCAGGTAGATTTGGGAGGAATCTTGATTCGTGAGACCTGCATAAGGGTATCAGAAGCTAAGGTATTCAGAAAGGGGAATAACAAATATAGAGATGGGTGAGGGTAGAAAATACACACAGCCGTGGCAGAAAAGTGGCTGTGTCTAAAGCTGTTATTTTAGCGCTTCTAAGAGCTCCATTCAGAATAACAATGAGAGAAGCTGTATCTTCCCCAACATTTTTTTTTCTATGGGATCAATTCCATTTTTTTGGAAGGACACAATACAAAGAGTACTATGCAAAAAGATAGTCATGGAAAATGTATAGGGAACATGGTTAATGTTTCCAATAGTTCCTCGCCAAGAAGAAGTGGATAAAATGTTCATCTTGTGAGGTTGTATAATTAAAAGCTCTGAAATCTAAAATTAAACTGAGGTTCCAAACATAGGGCCTGTTTCAAATTTAGGACTTGCTTTCAGAGCTCCCAGCACCTACAATTCTTATAAGCGAAGCAGATTCATGGGCTCACATGACCCCCTGAATATCAGGCTGATTTTTCAACATCTAGTTACGTTAGCAACCACCACGTGAGTAAAGCCTGCAGAATTAGACCATTAAGAAATATCAAACAGTCTACCTACTTAAAACAGATCATGTCTTATTCCTGTACAAGCTGCAATAAAAACCTAACATCTATTTATTTGACTTTTCCCCTGTTGCTTCCTCCCATGTATATCACCACAGAGCATTATTTGCATGTTTAAACTAGTCTATACCCCCCAAAAATGAAAAAATGTTTAAAGACTTTAACTTTTAAAGCCACTCTATAACCAAAACCAATGTCACACAGGGAAATAATGGTACCAAGAAATACTAATGGATAAGGTGGAAAAAAGTTGCTTGTTTCCTTTTCTCAATCAAAGATCTAATGCTCAGAAACACCTGATCTGCCATCCATACCCACACCAAGTACCACCTAACTTTGTGAGCAGCTGAGTTTTTGTGGGCTAAGGTGCTACTCATCTTACGTTAAGGTGGAAGAATCCTGCCCAAAAGAAAGCAAGATCCTTGCTATGTCCCTCAGCGAAGAACACGACTAACTAGTAGGACCAGATTCTGCTCCCCCTTTTATGCGGAATAGCGCTCCCCTCCATTAATAATTCCACTGAAGCATTGCATGAATGCCATCGCACACCACGAAGGAAATGAGAGGTGCATATAGAAAAATAGGCTCTTCCTCAGCTATTCCATATCATAGCCTATTTCTTTCCAGGTGCAAAAAGATGCTGTGAGCCAAACGATCCTGTGACACTGCGTTCCATGGATCACCCGCCCTGAGGGGGGTGATACCATAAAAAAAGGGGTTGCAAGGTGTTTAAAATGGCATTATAATCTAAAGCAAGGAACAATTTGCTTCTCCATCCCCCACTCTCCTTCACATGAATAATCATGTCATCTGGCTCCCAAATAATTGCCCGAAGCAGAATGGCAGTTTTTTCGGACAGTTTTTCTTTACACCATATATGAAGTTATTGGGCAAATCTCGCTATGATAGAAGACGGCAAAACTCCTGGGGATTCTGGTCTATTTGCTCTTATCACTCTTATTGTCTCAAATACTGGCACACTACATCTTACAAAAACACCAGTGAAATGTCAACCTGTAACGTGGCAGATGTCAAAGGTTAACACAACCATCCCCAAACTCACAGCCTCCATCATACTAACTCTTCTCTATTTCCTTTTTTTTTTAATTCCTCTTTTTTAAATCCCCCATATACACATTTTGCTATCGGCAATATCAAAACGTTGAGTAATAAAGCAGTGAAACACAATGCTACACCGATCCTGCAGCTTGCATGCCTCTTCTGCTACAGCTTGCACTGTTCCTAGCATCTTGCAATTTTTAATGTGAATCAAAGTCAAATAAAGGAAAGGGGGGACAAAAGAGAGAGAGATGCTGCTGCAATGAAGCAAGCTGTATCAGCCCATCTGTTCCTAGAGGAAACTAACTGATTATGGAAAACAATCGAGGCAAACCTCCTTAACGCAATTACTTACAAGAGTTGCAAGACACAGCGAGTAAAAGGCACAGTGGTACAAAGCACTGGAATTCATCTTCCGAAGCAAGTCAAGTGTCATAATTCACTTCCCCAGCCTCCTTTAGCATCTTTTACCTTCCCTTCATCTTCCCTTTCTCCTATCAGTGCCTGGTCTGAAGCATTTATCTTTTTGCACAGAAGTGACGTAACAGTACAATGAAGTGGAAACTAAATATTAACAACTCTCCAGGCAGTGATTGACTGGCTTCCCACCTTCTTGACCTTGCTACACATTCCCAGATAGCAAATGATGAACAGCGTGTTTGAGATTAGGGTAACGAGATCCCTTCTGGGGAGCCTGCCTCAGAGACACCAAATGATTAGAGTCAGGTTTAACAGACCTATTAATGTTGATCGTGTCACTTTTAAAGCAACATCGGATGTTGGAGACCAGCAACGCCTGCGAATGGATTAAAATCAATTCATTCGAACACAGCATGCATCTTATGCTTGTTTTCCTGTTTAAAAAAGCTGTGTGTGTTTGCAGGTGTGTGGAGATAAGAGCGTATCATTACATTTTTCACCGCGTGGCCAAGATCTGCTCTCGGACACAACGGCTCCTGGCGGAGCGCGTGCTGTATGAGCATGGGAAAGCAAAATTCAGTCCAAGTTATGTACCGTGTAAAGAAGCACCTGCGTGAATACACGTTATGCCCCATCTCCTCCCCCCTGTTAGAAGAACGTTAATGCTGCCAGGTGTAGGACCTCCAGATGGGAAAACTGGAATTAAATTAGTCTCTGCCGCTATTCACCCGCTGCCTGTGCCCAGTTCAACTTCTGCCTCTATGTTCCCATCCTCCCCATGGCTCCTGCACCACCAACACCCTCCCTGACACACATCTCCCTCAGCTTCCCTGATTTCGGTGTCCTCCTGCTCCTCTCCACAGCCCAAGTGGGAACCCTGATGGCAGAAGACACAGAGACTCTTTTCTCACCATTTTAGCACTCAGTGCAACAGCCCAATAAAAGATACCATCAGCAAACACCTTGCAGAAGCTACCTCCGGCCAGGACAAGCTAGGTCCAGGAGAATGCTCCTAGTCTTCGCCTTCCCAGGCTGGGAGTATGTCGAGGGGATGGTATACACATAGTCTGGTCACACGTAGGAGTTGTGGGGGGCACAGAGCATGCGCAGGGAAGATCAACTCTTTAGTCAGCATACAGCTGCCAAGCTCTCTACTGACCAAGTGCAAGGGGAGGGTGGAGTTTTATTTATTTTTTAAAGCAAGGGTGTCAAGCTCACCCTATGTCCCAAGCCAGATCCAGACCATGGGGCTCCTTGCAGACCAAATCCAAGGGGCAAGCAATGAGGGCAGCAGTGCTGGGGGTAAATGCTTGTAGCCCCAGCAGCCACAGGCCAAATGGCAGTGGCCCCAAGCAACAGCAGGACGAGATGTCAGCACAGCCCTCACTCCCCCACCTGATGCCAATGGCCATGTCCAACAGTGCACTGGAGTCTGAAGCAGGTCTCACTCCCTCATGGCCCCACCAACAAATGATCTGACCTGCCAGGAGCACCATGAGCCCAATGGAGTGGCTCTGCAGGCCAGATCCAGCCCATTGTTCAGACATTTGACACCCATGTTTTAGGAATTGATGTCTTGGCCAAACTTGGCCAAATTCTCTCAGGAGTGTCCCAAGTGAATCCCAGAAGGTAGGGCAACCCCTCTGACAAACGTCAAGGTCTTTCTACCAAAAATGGAGGCCCCAAACTTCTTCATGGAAGAAAGGAAGGATTATTTTAACATGGTGGGGGAGGGGAGGGCATCATCATTTTTTCCCATAATTAATTTCCGAAATGACTAGAAACATCTTTGGTGGCAGAGGTCTGTCATGAAAAATTTCAGTTCAGACATTTAAAGATAGCAAAATGGCAATGGAAAACAAAACCTCATAACAGGAATATCATGCAACCTGAACACGACACGTTCTTTTCTCTGGTATTGCTGCTACTACTTAGTGGTTTTGTAGCACTTTTCACAGGCACTCAGAGCACTTTAGAAATAAGACCAGTGTCATTATCACCACTGGACAGATGGGGAAACTGAGGCAGAGAAAGGAAAAGGGATTGATTTGCTCAAGATTACCCAGCAGGACAGTGACAGAGCTAGGGAAAG